CAACAAGGCCATACCCACTCTAACACAGCTCCACCTCCTAATAGTGTCCCTTCCTGTGAGATTATGGAGGTCAATTACATTCAAACCACCCCAGATGGTAAACATAGCAAAAAGAAGCACACACTCAGAACTTGGACTTTGTATCTCTATAACCCCTCAAACAACAGCAAAATAAAGCAAGGTCGTGCAGTTAAAGAATCACAGAAAAGGACATTGTCAAGGTCCCATAATGCTAGTGGCCTTAGATAAAAGCTGTGCTACCCTAAGAAGACTGTTTCACTCAACTGTCAGCTTTCTTTGTATCTGAGCATCCAAAGTTTCATTCATGTTACTCCTGATGTATGGAAAAATAGAGTTAGCTGGACCAGTCCATCTCTCCATTTCCTTGCTGTGTGACCTAAGTAAGCTATTTAATCTCTTTGTCCTTATTCCTCATCAGTAAATTGGGTGTCAATAGCTTCTTAGCCTTTAGGGTTGATATGAGAGCTAACTGATAACAGACAGACTTCTACATCTTGTAGAATTGGCACTCAGTGGGTCCCTGCTCTTACTGAATGGAGAAAAACCATGACTTGAATGGAGGGAGGGTCAGGACCATCCCAAGAAGAACCAAGAAGCGGCGTCTAGAATGTTCTAGATTTCACTAGATCAGAGATGCCTTCTTTTTAGTCCTTGCTCTGTGAAACATAGAGATGTTGAACTGGGTGGACTTGAAACCACCAATATTTTGACAGTCACCGCAATATTCCAAGTGTGGCCCAAGCAGCAGCACCCTGGAGCTGTTGGACAAACACATTCTCAGTCCCTCCAGGTCTACAGAACTGGAGTGGGCAGAGTGATCCCCACTCAATAGTTCCTCTGGGTGCCTCTGAAATCCACAGAGTCATGCATAAACAGTTCCACTCGAGCCTGTGATGCCCCAGCAAAAGGGCAGAGGTTTAATTCAGATGGACATAAACTTCACTGAGATCAGTGTTATGCCTCATTCCTCTTTAACAAAGGTTTAAAAGAGCAATGGATGGGCCTTGGTAAAAAATGAAGGCAAATGCATGGGTTTCCACAGGTAAGAAGCCTGTGTTCTATTTGCCCTTCTGTTTACCTTTTGAAATCCTAAGCCTAGCAGACTTCAAGATTTATGATGGCACTGTTCCCACCACATTTCTGCTAGTCCCAGCATGACAGTAACAGGAGAAAAGTTTCCTTCTTTTTCTGTAGATTTAGAATGAAAATATCATGGAATAAAAACCAAAGAAGACTTGAGAAACAGTGTCAGTAATATCTGGGGGCATCGAATGGCGCCTTTTATCTAGATGCCCTGGTCCTTGTTGTGTTTTCTTCTCATTCCTGCTCCCAGAATGGTCATTCCACCCATCTCATCTCTTGTCTCTGTGCAGTCCTTTGACAAGCCCATGCCTTCTCATCACCTTGGTCTCAGATGATCGTCTGACTTCATCCTTCACTGAGAAAATGGCGTTCCTTTACCTCTTCGATCCCAGCTGCCACATTCGCGCATGCCCTTTCTGTGACCTCAGACTGGACATCTGGGTGCAGACTTGCCTGGCACTATCAAAGGTCATTCCCACATGCTCCCATCTGTCTCATCTCCCAGCTCACACACACTTCCCTCTCATCACTATCCATCTTCCCTGCACGTCTGTTCCCCAATCAGCACACAGACCAGGCATCAGGATTTTCCATCTTAAAGACAAAAACTGTCGTCTTTCAGCCTCATAATGGCTCTGGCTGCCCATCCCTTCTTGCTCTTTCTCTCCTCAGCAAACTTATTGCAAGGCAGTTCAACCAGGATTGATCTGATTGGTGTCCAGGGGTTCTGAACAGAGTGGAGCTGGCCTGCCTATCCATTCCTAGGAAAACTACTTTCTTGCTATGTGGCCTTGGGTGAGCTTCCTGTCCTCTTTGTGCCTGGGCTCTTGATCTTGGAGCCATCTCAGAGCCAATACTTAGGATTGTGTGGGAATTATGCAAATTGAGCTTGATAAAGCACTTACCAAACCCTCACTGCCCTCTACCTGTTCAGTGTGATGCCCCAGTTGGATTTTCCATCCACTCCGGACCAAGATATTGCATCCATCAGTGCCTGTCATCACCTCCCATTGTCTCGTCCAGTACTTGCTTCCCCTTTATTCTCTTGCTTGCCTTTACAACAGTTCTCAATACAGATGCCCTGTGACCTCCTGGAAACACTCCTTCTTTGGTTTCCATGACAGCACAGTCTCATTTCCTGCCCCTTCCTTCTTCCCCATGGCATAGGACCCTGATCTTGGAGTCAGTCTCTGCCTCTCTACAGCTATGACAGCAGTTAACATTCTGTAGCCAGGGAACTTGCCTCTGGCACAAGGACCAGCACATCATTCCTGTCCTGTGTTTGATGACAGATTCTTTTCTTTGTCAAAAGGCTTCAGGCTCCAGGAGCAGAATGTAACAGCACAGGGACCATCACTCTTTACAGTGGCTGACAAACCCTTCATAAAGTACTAGAGAGTGTGTGTGGGTGGCGTGGGGTAGGTAAATAGGAGTCGGGGCTAGGCATGGTGGCTTATGCCTGTAATCAGTATTGGAGAGGCCAAAGCAGGGGTTTACCACGAGTTTAATAACAGCCTGAACACTGTCTCAAAAAAAACCAGAAAAATATTCTTTTAAAGTAAGCACTATGTGGTGTGGGAAGGAGCATCCTGTAGACACCAGACCAGCCACAGTCAAATGCCCTTAAAGTTTGGGACATTTCCAGACAGGTCCTGATGGAAAGCCCTGTGGAGGGAGAGTTGGATGAGGAATCACTCCAAGCAGTAAGCTGGCTTTGATTTTAGCTTCTACTTTTTCAGAGAATCCATTTCCCATCTCCTCCTTCTTCTTTTCTTTGAAGACAGAACATGTCTGGATGACTGTCTTTTCAGTTAAAGAGAAGCCACAGTCGATGGGAAAGCCTTGCTGTCCTCCTATCGGCTTTAGGCCAGGCGTCCTTCATCTAATATCTTTAATGTAAGCCTGTGGAAATTTAGCAAAAGCCCCGCCCCCTTGCTGCCACAGACACCTTCACCTTGGAGCCAGCTCTGTGGGGCTCTGCTGCAGAGGCGCTCTGCCTGGTGCTTACCAAGTCAGCCCCCTCACAAGGACAGTGTGCAAGGAATACGGGAGATGGGCTTGCCAGTCACTGCTGGCCTAGAGCAGGGGACCTAGGATCTGGGAGTGGAACAGGCTGGAGAGAGGGAAGTCTGGCCTCCAGAACAACTTTTATGCAGAGAAATTCCCACTGAGGCCTGAGGAAAAAGGGTCTTCTTCAGTTAGCTGGGCCTTTCTGAAGAGCCCTGTGGAGATAACTGTATTGAGGCTGTCCTGCAGGCCAGGCTTTGCCTGAAGGCATGGTCAGAGGAACTCCTATGCACAGTGGCAAGTTCATTCACCAGCATCCTACAACTGCTGCAGAAGTGTCCTAAGTAAGAATAAGAAGACACTTCCCATGGCAACAGCTTTACGAATGCCAGCCAGATGCCAAATGAACCACAAAACCATTCTGAGTGCTCGCTGGAACCGTGCATTTATGTCCCTAAGGCTCTCTGCTGTCACTTCCCCTTATAAATGTACGGTATTTTGAAGCATTAAGATTCAGTGTTTGAGGCCTTGCTGAGACAGCTAATCATCATATGTAAAGAGTGTGACTGTTTCAAAGAAAAGACTTACAGATGTTAGAAAGGATATTTGGCAGCTGAGGAGGAAACTGACAGAAAAGTGTGTGCTGTGCAGGCACAAGGACCTGAGCTCAGATACACGACACCCACATAAAAAGCTAAGCAACGCTGTGCACACCTGTAATCCTAGCACTGAGGGTGATCCCTATAGCCGATCTTGTCCAAGCTGCGAGCTCCAGGTTCTGTGAGAGACTCAGCCTCAAAGAGCCAGGTGGAAGACAATAGAGGAAGACACCCAACACCAATTCAGCCTTGCATACTAGCATGAACGTGTGTGCACAATCCTACACAAACATGTGCACACACAGCTTAAATGCGTACACACAAGCCATTGTCCTGGGCATGCCCGTAGGTTTTGGAATCTCTGTGGGTGGGTTTCTTCTGGGTAAGGAGAGAAGGAAGCTGCTCAAAGGGTAACACTTTGCCTTTAGGTCTTTTCCTAGTGACTTTTCTTTGTGTCCTGATATTTGACCAGAAACAGCTTAATGGAGGAAGGAGTAATTGTGGCTCATGGCTTCTGGGAACAGAGTCCAGTGCCGTGAGAGCTGCACTTATCTGTGGGTATAAGGATAGGTATTTAGACTGCAGTTAGATATTATGTTGAATGATTTAGGGAAATGGAGGTCGTAGGCTCTTCTCTAGAATTATTGACTTCTTTAGCTGTGGGTAATCGATTAGGTTAATCAACACAGTCAGGAAGGCATGATGGCAGGTAGCTCCATGACTGCAGGGACACATACCAGGGCTTGCTCACATCTCAGCACACCAGTGAGTAGGGAGAGAAGAGCGCTGGTACTCATCCAGCCTTCTCCTTTTTAATTTAGTCTAAGACCCCAGCCTATGGGATGATGCCATCCACATTAAAGCTGGTCTTACCCCTTTCAGCTAATCCTCTCTGCAAACACACTCATAAATATTTCCAAACGTGTGCTTTGTTAACACCATTGGTATTCTTAACCCAATCTCATGGGCAAATTAACCATCAGAGATTTTCAACTTTGCCCAGATCAGTAAGGAGACTGGGAGGTCTTAACATGGCCTTCTCTTTGACATTTCTCTCCCTCTTGGAAAGATGGAAACAGGTGCATTGGGATTGTCAGAGGATAGTCTGCATGGACTCAAACACTGGGTGAATAATGTATCCTCAGTATTTTGACCAGTTGTGGATCTCTGAAGAAGTCTCCACTACACACACACATACACACACACACACACACACACACACACACAGTTTATCTGTGGGTATAAGGATAAATATTTAGAATACAGTCAGAAATTATATCTAATGGAAGTAACAGGTTCTTTTCTAGGATCTATGACTTATAGCTATTGGTGGTTGGTTAGGTTTGCAGTATCACACATGAATTCCTTCCTATTGAGTGGGCCATAAGTCTATTTAGATAGCTGTTGGCTACCCCAAAGATAACGGTGTCATGATTGCACCATTGGAGATATCTTACTTGGGTGGGCCACTGTTGTAGTTCATAGGCTTTCTGTCTGGGTAGGACTTTCTCCTTTGGTAGCTTGCATAGTACCTTCCAATGCTATGAGACCTAATCCTCAGGGAGGAGACTTCCAGGTTAGTTCCAGCTTGATTCCTCCAAGTTCTGTGTCCAAAACATGTGGCATCTTCAGCAACATAATCTCACATTCTTTTCTGAAAGGCATCAAGGGCAATGAAAACTGAGTATACTTTTTCCCCATGACCAAGAATCAAGGCGAAGTTTCCCATGCCTAGCACTCGGGTTTTTGTTAGCCTATGATGTTGGAGTATTGTAGTATTGTTACCGTGTGTGTGTGTGTGTGTGTGTGTGTGTGTGTGTGTGTGTGTTTAGTAAGCTTATAAAATAATGTTTCTCTATGGCCTTAAAAATATCCTTAGTGTTATTTATCTCTCCTTCCTCCCTCTCTGTTTGTATTACCCTCCTCCTTCCTCCCCATCTAAAGTGCTCCCCCATTTTTCCCATTTCCCTCTTTATAGCACCTGTGTTTTACCATCCCATGTAATGTGTGATTTTGCTTCACTGTGAGATACAATTGTAACATTTAAGGAAATGTTGAAAAGAAAAAAACCTGAAGCTATCATGGATTAATTATTGGGACTATTTTCCTTTTTGTTTCTTCTCTTTTAAAGCCAACTACAAATAATTTAAACAGTTGTTAATACTGTGGAACCCTTTAATAGTCTACTTTTCTTATGAATATTTGCATTATTAAAACTAAACTTGGAAGCAGTGGTACAATTAAAGAATTGTCGCTTAACGCTGCAGCAGTCCATACCCTATATAGTAATACATCTTTGCATTCCTACCCTATTAGAAAATGCTGTATTAGGTCACTTGTATTAGCTACTTTTGACATCACTCTGACAAAACTCTTGATGGAAGCAACTTAAAGAAGACCTTTATTTTTGGCTCATAGTTCCATCATGGCATGGAAGGCATGATGTCTGGCACAGCTTGGTTCATGGCGGTGGGAACTTAGAGTGTAGCATGTTCACACCTTGAAGGAAAAGAAGAAGAGAATTTTTAAAGGTCTTCCCCAGTGAGTCACTAGCCAGGCCTCACAGCCTCCCCAAACAGAAAACCAACTGTGGACCACATGTTCAAACACATGACCCTGCAGAGGACACTTAGATTCAAACCATGACACTGCTCTTCCTGGAAACTTGGTCTCGAGGCTTGGTGGGATTCCCCCTTCTGCCTTTAAGAAATCTTTCAATTCAGCCAGGTGTTGGTGGTGCACACCTTTAATTCCAGCACTCGGGAGGCAGAGGCAGGCTGATCTCTGTGAGTTCGAGACCAGCCTGGTCTACAAAGCAAGTTCCAGGACAGCCTCCAAAACAATACAGGGAAACCTTGTCTTGAAAAACCAAAAAACAAATCTTTCAATTCTACTCAACCCGGTGTCTAGCTGAATGTGAGCATCATGTGGGTCTCTGCAACATGCACGACTTGGGTTCTGGGTAGTGTTTGTACATAGTTCCCAAGACAGCACTTCCCAAGGTGACTTCTAGGCTTTCTCCAGAAGAGTGCTGTAGTCAAACCAGTTTGGAAATTCTGAGGCATTAGGATTGGCCATGTGAAACTGCCGAGGGCTAGGAGTTCTTGTTTGAGTTTCGGTTGTTGTTTTGAGACATGGCTTGCTGTGTAGCTCAGCCCACCCTTGAACTTGCAATCCTTCCTGCACCAGCCTCTCAGGTGCTAGAATTACAGGTGTGTGCCTCCATACCTAACTTCTCAACTGTTTTTTACCAGTACAGCCATAAATTCAGTTGGTTGAATCTAGCACAAATGCCTCTGTGGCATTCTTTATGAATATTAGTGCTAAAGGCTTGGAGAGTTCTACCAGAGGTAAAGAAACCATTATTATGAGCCTAATGTTATGAAAATACAATCCTTTAAAAGTATACTAGAGTTACTGGGGCACAGGAAGAATAGTCACCATTGTTACATATGCAAGTCTTGGAGGTATAGAAGGAAGCTGAGGTATGTTGACCCTACATACGAGTTTTATCAGCAAAGTTACAGCATCCTGGCCTGGAGAGGGAGCAGGTCTTCAGATCTCAGGAAGAGCTTCATTAACAGAGATAGCCATGACAGGTAGTATGACAGGATCCTCAAGAGAAAGTGCTTTCAATGCCCCTTGGTGTCCCTGAGATTAGAAGAATTGGAGCTCTGAGCCACTCCCTGGAAAGGAGAGTCGGCCCTTTCATTTATAAGGAATCAGAAGGGTTGCTTGCTCTTATAGGCTTTCAGCAGGGCAAGTTCCATACCATGTGACCCCCATCTACATACTAGAAGTTAGGAAGGGACTGGTAAAAGTCTAGCTATGGCTGGGCATGGTAGGGCAAACCTTAAGTCCTAGCACTGGGAAGGCAGAAGCAAAAATGTCTCCATGAGTTCCAGGCCATCCTGGTTTCTATAGTGAGCTCCAAGACAACCAGGACTACATAGAGAGACCCTGTCTCAACAACAACGAAAAATCTAGCTATAACTCCAGGCCATCTTGGCTCTGAGCAGTATGGAGGCAGGCAGGCTTTGCTTGCAGCAGAGAAACAGAAGGAGATGATCCAGTTCAGTGAGAGCTGCAGGGTCACAGCACCCATTGCTTTTCAGCTCTCTGGAGACAGCTGTAGAGGGGTGTGGCTTGATTTCTGGCTGAGAGGAAGGAGCAGCCAGAAAGTCTTCAACCTAACACTCATTAGAAAAATAAAAAGCATATTAGTGTGGAAATCCCAGGGCAGAATCAAGGGTCTAGTCTGACATCCAAAGGACACAGGTGCTGGCTGAGCGCGTGCCCAGGAGGCCACGGAGGTTGGTACTTCCCTCTCAGGAGTCTCCACACATTTCATACCCAAAGCCATAACTCTTTTCGGATATCCCCTCCTCTAGCAAGTCTTTGTTGCTTAGCTCTGTTTGCTGCGTGTGGCAAACCTGTGGCTTTCTTTCCTCATTAAACCAGGAGAATCTTCAGGTGGCGTCTGTCGGTGGCTCACCTCAAATGATTTACTAGATAAACATGGTTGTTATTTGGACTGCTCTCTCTTGTTATTATAATTGCTAATTAGTTCCTTTCTACAGGAAGTAGTTATCCCCCTAGTTTATGGGTGTTCATCCAATTTGCCTGAAGTCTCAAGCTGAATTATTCAGTCTAGATGCAGGAAGGGCATTCAGGACTGGCTACCGCTGCTTGTGTGGACACTGCAAACATGCACACAGCCAGAATGTGAGTTTGGGTTTTGACAGCTCCTGGAGTAAAATGTGCAAGCCATGGAATGAAAGTGTTGGACAGAGGTGGCTTCAGAGTACAGTGACAGCAGCTGGCCAGAACTAAATCAAGACCTCTAGAGATTCTCCTTCCTTCCTACTCTCCCTCCCTTCTGTCTTCATTTCACTCTCCCACTGTCTGGAATTCCTTCCCCTGAGAGGGCCTTTAACATCACTGTCTGGTTCTCGTGCTACCCAATGCTCATCAGTGTGACCCACCCTCTACAGTAGCTGTGCATTTTGAGTGTTTGTCAGATACATTTAGGAATAACAGCGGTCCTCTGGGGAAGCAGGTAGAAGGTAGATGTTACCCTATGAGAACACAGAATTAATTTAATAGTAGCTAACTATAGCTTGGTGAGGTTAAATGACATGAAATAGGGGCCTAAGCATTTTGTGCCCTCACAGAGGGTGGCACTACCCAGAGAGTGTGTGCCTATGACTGACATTCTCTGACTTTCACGAGCGCTGCTGTAAATAGTCAGCTACCAGAATAAAAGCCTTTCTGGGCTCAGTGAGATGGCACAAATGGATAAAGACACATGCTGCCCAGGCCTGATGACCCAGGTTCAATGCCCAGGACCCACATAGTGGAAAGAGAGAACTAATTTCCATAAGTTGTCCTCTGACCACTGCCTGTGTGTGTGTGTGTGCACACATGCATACACAAGTAAATATGATTTTTAAAGTTAACAAAGAAACAAGCCCTTTTGATTTCTCATGAAGTAGAAATAAAGCTTTTAACTTAGGTTCCCCCAAAAGCAAACACTGGAGAAACTTGACCATGCCATGCCATATTTCAGATCCTCACATCTCATTTGTCCTGGAAATGTAGACGTCAAATCATCTTAGCAGTGTGCATGAAGTGCTCTAAGAGCAGTGGAAGAGGGAGACAAAGACACTGCCATTTCTCATTGGACATCCCTTTCCAAGAGTATTGTGTGTAATCCCATTCTGGTCAGTTTCTCCAGGCCTCATATTTTCATGTGTCAGAAAGACAGCAAGCGGCCCTCACTATGTGCAGGCTTTCCCTGAGAGAGCTCGACAGTGTGCAAAGCATTGACCGGGGCATCTGTTCTGACAGCTTCCTGGGAGCATGAGATTGAGAGCTGATGGCTTATATCCTATGCCAGAGAGATGTAAAGTCAAGTAACTTGAGACAGAGGCATGTAGGATGGTGGATGGGGGATAAGGGGGTAGCACTGGGAAGTACAAAAGATGACCATAGCAATAGTGCTGATGGCTACACATAGCTCTCTTGCATGACAAGGCATATCTATGTGCTGTCCTTTGGAGAAAAAAGAACTTAGAAAAGACACCAAGACCCCTCAACCTTGAACTTTAAAATAAGCAGAAATCTGGACAACAATAGTTTCCCAAATGCCCGCTGTTTGTTTATCATAGATTTGATTTTCAGTCACATCAGAGATGCAGCATGACATTTTGAATCTTGTGGTCAATTGTTCAGGTCACCTCTGGAGGTGGCCTTTTGATGTCCCGTCACCCCACAATCACAACCCTTAATATTAAGCTTCTCCTGTGCGCTATCATTCTTCTCAGAGCACCGCATACATTATTGATATGACAAACGTTTGTTGAACTGCTCCTAGGAGTTTTACATATATTATTTATTTAACAAACATTCATTGAACATTTACTATTGTACCTGGCACCACAGATCCTAGGGAAGTAATCATGATGGAGAATAAGGCCTCAATATTTAGGAACAGACTAGGAAAAGGAGACAGATACACAGTTACCGTAAACTATACTAGTTGCCACCACAGACTGCTGTCAGATGTCAGAAAGCCTTAGAATCATCTTGGTTATGATGCTGGTACAGTGTGGTTTAGCTGGTACAGACTGTTTAGAGGAGATAGCTTCTGTTTAGAGTGTGGATTGCCAAGCAAGGAGAAGTGGGAAGAACAGCCAGGCAAAAGGAAATGCCTGTGAGGTAGAGTAATCAGTCAGGCAGGTCACCCCAAGCCAGGTGTGATCTTCTCGACAAGGTAAGGTGGGTTCTACCATCCTCATTTTCCACCTAAGTGGGTTAAACTTACAGAGACAGGAGAAAGCAAAGGAGGACACTAGGAAGGGTGATTAGATGACAGAAAATCAAATCATTTTTGGAATAATTTGCTAATGGGAGAAGGGAAGATACTGTTGAGAGCCACGGCAGGACTGATCAGCTGACTGTCTTTCCTGACCACTTTCTCCCCGCGTCAGCAATTTCATGTCATCCATGATCACAGCAGACACAAAGGAAGTACAGCAGAATCCGGGTCTATGGGCCGCCAAAGGTTGTGTTCTTTTCTTACTTTAAAAAAAGTGTGGTTTTATTGTCAGTGAGATTGTTCAGGGCATCTGGGAAGCCAGGGGCTTGTCAGATGACTCTCAGGAGGCAGTCACCTCAGGCAGGTTCCCGGGGGTAGCAAAAGTGCTTTCCATCAGCCCCTTGGAGTCCAAACCCCAGACGTCTCAATCTGCAGCCTTTCCATAAAGTGCTTCAGGAGGGAAACGCTACAGCCACTACAGCGTTGGTGGAGAGTAATCAGTATGAGAAAGGTTACTCTGCTAGTCAAAGTTGCCAAGACCAGGCAGCTTTTGAAGAACCAAATGAGCTTTCCTCCGAGAGTTCTCCTAAAATGCAGGATAAGACTTAAATCTTTGACCAAAAGCAAAACAAAACAAAAGCTGGCTATGCTTTCTTGTGTTTACCAGTGAGTAGATGAG